GTAAAGGACCTGGGTTCATTCTCAGTATGCATATGGCTAACAACCATCTGTAATTTCAGTTCCAGGGGATCCGATGTCCTCTCTGGCCTCTATGGGCACTGCATGACACGGGTATACTTTTACACATTCATGCAAAACACTCATATACATACTTAATCTTTTTTTAAATTTAGTTTCCAAAAATTGCATACCATGAATACCTACTTTTCATCTTGTTTAAATCTCATGTCAAATAAATGTAGCTTTACCCATGAAGAGCAGTAGATATGTCAAACATGCAGGATGTTTTGTCACAATCTGCATTTGTTTGCTCATAACTGAGCAAATTAACTAGATCATTATGGTGATTCTACCAATATAATCTAAATTGGAGACAAATTGCACTAAGTGTTTTAAGCACATTTTAAATATTTTTTTTAAATCTACGTTATAATTTTCTTAAAATATTCTGGAATAGCTAACCCACCCATACCTATTAGGGGTTCGTAGAGACTTACTTTGAAGAATGGGTTCAAATGCCTAGTGCAGTAGTACCTGCGTGGGAAGATGCACTCTAAGTGTTTTGTTGTTGCTTGCAATTAATTCGATCAGTCAATCTAGCATCTTTTCATAAGTAGAAGGAAGGCATTCTACAACTTCAATAAACAAATGTAATTATTGGGGTCTCAGAACAAGGACTCTATTCTGTTCACCTTTCTAACATTAAAGTTTAGCTGAATTCCCATATGTCACAGAATGGAATTAACTAAGTCTGCTTACATTAATAATGTCTAGTCTAGAAAAAAGATATGGAAAAAAAACCTTTAGAAGTAGATTCAGGTATAAAAATTTATTTAGGCTCACTAGTAGGAATATTTGACATATTTATTTTTTATCTTATTAGGATCCCTTTCCTTCCCTTTTATGGTTTGCTGCAATTAATGCATATAACATAGTAAAACTGATGTTTTAACAAAGTGTTAAAAATGGTATAATCAACATCTATTGTTTTAAAATAATTCCTTAAAATCATATTCCCCTTAAGCAGCTGTTTGAAGCTGACCATTGCATTGTAAGGCAAGGTGCTCTATACACATCCGTGTGCAGAACTCTAGAGGAAGGAAAATAAACTGGCAGCTGAGTTGCCGTTAATTCTTTGTCTTTGCTTCTAAACTAAGAGGCAGAACTGAGCTTACTAATCAACCCAGATTTTAGGGGCAAATCCGAGTTCTACAAATAATAAGCTAGCCTAGCTCTTTGACTTAGGCTTTTGTACACAGATAAGATTTTAAATGCCTTATTTATTTTTAAAAAGAGGGAATATTTATGACTTTCTCAGAAAAATAAAATGTTTATATTAAAGTCTTATTCTCAGTGAAATGAGAGACAGTAAAATGTTAAATGTGGTTCAAAGAACATTCATTTACTCAAAGTATAGATGATTGATGATAAAAATAGGAAGATAGATTATATTAATAGAGAGATAAAATGAATCTATAAATAGAAGGAAAATAGGTCTACTTATAGATAATAATCATTACATTATATCTTAGCCCCATAAACACAAGTCACCTAGGTGTACAAGACAACTTCCTTACTAAAAACGACAATTAATAAACTTTCTGAATTTTCTCTACATTTACTTTCGACCAAGCAAGGGGTGCCTTTGGCTATTCAGAACATTTTAGAAACAAAAGACAGTTATTCTCTGCACATGGGAAAACTAAAAGAATTAAAATGAGTTATCAAAACTAAGAGTTGTCATTGAGTTCTTAAAATACTGTTCTGGGAATGTCATAACCATTACAATCATGACTTCTCACAGCTGTGGTCCCTTGAACGGCAGAAGACTAGGCTAGTCAATGTTAGCCATGGGCTGGGGAAGGGCTCATGAGGTCCTACCGTCTCTGGGAAACTGGTTGCTTTTGAAGGACACTGAGGATGAAGAGTTATTATCTTCCATTGTATAACCACTGGTGAGTCCATCATGCTCAACTGGATAGTTCTACACCATGTAAACATGGATGGTCATTGGTAGGCTGAGTACAAAAAAAAAAAAGACAGGAACACTGGAAAGGAATTTATAGGGAAGAGAAGGTTGTTGATAGTGGGAGGGAGTTAAAGGAGGGTGGGTGATAGTAAACAGAATGGACTACATACATGTTTGGAATGTGAAAGAATAAATTTGTGAAAAATTCTGGTTGAGAATGGGGAATTTGGTTCTCACTATAGCATTAGTTTAAGGAGTGGAGAATCTGATAATTCACAGAAAATCTGATGATTGTACAAGTGTTCTTGATTCATTGTGCTATGAATGCTACATTAAACATGTGCTTTATAATTTTCTTTTGCAATAATTCAATATCTTCTCAAGGTAATTCTATAAACTACTTTTAATTTAAATTTCTGATTGCTTACAATAGTGGAGAATTAAGTTATGGTTAAGGAAAGGTAGCTTTCTCAATTCTTAATAAGGTACCCAAACCTTTGTAACTCTCTAAGCTCATCCAAAAATCACTGCAACAATTTAGAAGCACATTACCATCAATACTCAAAAGAGCATGAGTACCATTTTTCTTACCTAACTAGATGCAAACTAAATTGTTAGTCACTGTACCATTGACATTTATGGTCTTAGCATGTACAAATTACAGTAGATATTAGTAGAAAACTGCTCTCTAGGAAATCAGCAGTTGAAAAGAGGTCTAATTATAAGAGAAATAAAAAAGGAAACCAAGCAGATTTGTTTCCTTTATAAGAAGCCGCACATAACTGTATTTTGGATGTAGCGATTTGCTTGACATTCAGCATGTTTCCTATTGAAATGCTTAAGGTATTCAGACAGAAATAGTTAAAGGAAATTGAATTTAAATTTTCTGACTGACTTTGCAAAGTGATCAAAGGAAGAAGAATTTATCTGTTAAGAAAGTTGCCGCACAGTGTGCTTGATACTCAAGCTTCTTATGATCAAAGTTTTGTTTTATTTTTCCTCTTTGACTGCTTTGTAAGACAACAGGAGCATCTGCATTATATTAGAATACATTACAGTCACATATAAACATAAATCCTCCAAAGCTTATTAATGCATAAATCAGAAAAAAAATATTCATTTATTTTTTTCTGGGTATTTTTTTAAATAGCCTTGGATGTGGTGGGACAAATTCAGCATCTTTTAAAAAAATTTGAAGTCCAGAAATGTTTTATGACTTGTAAACCATTACAGCAACCCACTGCATGTATCTGGTTTGGCAGAAACATAAGTTTTATTTCTTTTAGCAAATATTTTAAGGAGGATTATTTACAAAATTAAGCATTTCGGTAATCAGAAATGTTCAAGCAGTGATGTATCTGTCAAAGTGCTCTTTCTCTCACTTAACAAGGAACTGGACTGAGGTCACCAGCTTATTTCTTCCAGGCCAAAACCCAAGGATAGCTTTGTTCACAGTATTCTGTGTACACCTGCATTCATGCACAAAGCTCAGTGTGCTTCCGCTACTGAAAAGCTAACAAAGTGACCACCGAGGATGTCCATAACCATGATATGAGTTGTAGAATATAAGCTGGAAATCTTAAAAATGCATTATATTCATTCAGTAATCATTTAGTTAAAATAATATGTATGATTCAGAATTTACAAAAGTTATCCTGCTTATTTACTGCTGATTTTTAGTACATAACCCTTTTAAGTCCATAATTGTTCTATTCAATGAAATGCTTTAAGGATCATTATTATTACACAAAAAACACAAACTAATTTCTTCTCTGAAACAGGTGCTTTGAGATTGCAGTTGTGATAGACTTTGGTTGTAAATTTAGAATACGAATACATATAAGTAAAATTGAAGAAAAGAATACTTTCCTGAAGCTGTCATGGAAAGCACTTCACAACTGTGGTCACCATCAAAGAGTATTTTGTGAACTTATATATTTAAATTGCTGAGGAATCATACTCATGCATACTTTATTAGAATAGTAACAATAAATGTTTAGGAGTCAATTTTACTAGAATATAAAGTAAATACTACATCTGAAAAGTGTCTTGTTGATACTTTTCTATCAAATCTATTGTTCACTGTGGAATGCCATTTTTAAAAAACTCTCTAAAAAGTCCCCTATATTAAAATCTTATATAGCTATCTAAAGGAGGAGAAAAAAATTAGAAAAAGAGAAGAGAGTCACAAAGTGGAAAAAAAAATCACAAAAATCTGAAAGTAGTTACCATAAATACTGAATCACAATAACTTCACAATTTCTGATTAAATTAAACAATTTAATTAGATGTGATGCTCATTATTTTTTTTAAGTCTTCTCAAAATCTTATTGCTTTATGTCATGGTCATTATCTTTATGGCCTGAAGTATATAAGCCAGGAACCAATTGGCATCTATCCTCTTTTAAAGGTAGAAAAAAAAAAAAAAAAAACAATACCCAAAAACGGGTTTGAGGTATGTGGTTAGCTTAAATTGAAAACTCTTTAAGTTTATTCTTAAAGATTTTCCTATTTTATACTCCCCAAAGTGAAAATAGACAATATT